TGGCACAGAGCTCCGGAGAACAACCTTTAGGTGCCGCGTTTTAGGGTGGGTTTCCTTACAAAGGTAGATGGCCACCTGACGTTTGAAATATTTACCTCAAGATTCCTGCAACCTGAGATCACCAAGCGGAGAGCCGGTCCCTCCTGTAGCAAATGGTGGCCCTAGACCTTAACATTGCAAAATCGCTAGCCGTAACAGATGCAACTTACTCTGAGCCCTTGTGCCTGGCATTCCCCAACGGCCCCGTTCATAATCCCTTGAAAGACATATCAAAAGGAACCCGAATTCACAACACCCCTCCAATGAGCTCCGCCTGCACTCGCTAAACTGGCTGCCCGCTTTCCCAGACGGCTCCCTGGCTTTGGGCGGGGTGGCTGCCTTTTTCGCGCTTGAGGGTTTAGGCCTCTGGCTTGACATTTTACTGTATCCCTGTGTGAGGTTGCGGGGTTTGTGGTGCTCGGTCACTATGGCTTCGTGCTGACGGCTGGGGAGGTTCGGCTTGGTCTGTAAAGTTTTGCGACTGAGACCCCGATGTGCATTTCTGTGGCCATGTCTTTTTTGAGCCGATAGACTGAACCCACCCAAAAACCTATCGAAACCCCATAGAGTCTTATTCCGGTGTCCTTCGCTGGCAGCAGGATGCCCTGCGCCACTCCCTGGCAGGCCCGAATTTGGAGTCATGGTGGTACAATAGGGTTTAGGTTAGCGTTTAGGGTTCTAGCTCCATAACGGATTGTTTAGCATTGAAGAGCTTTTGGCGGCGTCACACGGGACACGGTTGAGTACATGCGTGCTCATACGATGTTTATACTGAGCCTCTATGGTACGGCATGGCCCACGCAAGCCGCAAAACCCCAAGCCTCTCAGTCTCAAACCTTGCTGAACCCGAAAGCCAGCCCAATGAAAGCTCATCAAAAACCGGGAACATCATAAAGGTCCGAGCCAAGGCCATAGAGCCCAGCAATGTCGAAAGCCGAAAACCTGAAGCCCTCAACCCCAAACCCTCTAAGCCCCAAGAAAACCGTAGCTCCCACCTGCGCTCGCCAAGCTGGAGGGCTTCTTACTCTGGCGCCCTGCGAGGAAGAAAGGGGACTTTAGGGTTTCGGAGTTTTTGGGCAGAGTTCCGGGGTTTGGTCTTAGGGTCTACTTAGGCTTTAGGGTTTAGGGTTTAGGTCCAGGCTTTAGGATTTCGGGTTTAGGGCTTGGGGCTGGAAGTTTAGGGTTTCGGGATTGGGGTAGCATCAATAGAAGACCTGGGTGGTCCTCTGCCTCGACCCCATCGTGCACACTCGGGTTTGTCTCGGACTGGCCAGCTGCTCTGGTGCTCTCTTCTTGTGGCTCGAAAACAAACCCTAACGCCCAAACCCTCAGCCCCAAACCCTGCACCGAATGATTCTTGGCAGACTTTTGTCTCCGACTGGCCATCTCGCACGACTTTTGCAACGCCACTTTCCCAATGCCTCTGTCGCTGAAGAAGCTACAGCCTTCTGATGGCTGACTCCTGCTACTCTTTTACTCTTGCTCCTGTCGTGGGCGGCCGTCCGACCTTCAGGTTGTTCATATTTTGCGCGGTCGCCTCTCCCTTGCCTGTCTTTCCCATTTGTCGTGTGGCTTTCTTGTCTCGTTTTTTTGCAGCACTTCCTTGATGATGTCCTCCCGGACTATTCCGAGGCATAGATTTGCACATCTTGAAATCACCTCTGCATGCTTGTCTGTGTTTCGTGCTGTCTCATCCTTGCTCCATGGGAACCGCGCCTCGTTTGTGGCTTGCACGACGTGCTCAAGACATGTTGCGTGCGTGCGTGCGTGAGCGGCAGCGAAAATGATGATAGCGGTGACAATGGCAATACGAACACGGTGAAGCCAGCCCTAGTGCCGACAACAACATTGGTGGTTGGTAGTTAGCATTGAAGAGTACGAGAGCGCACCGACAACAGTAGTTTTGCACGGTGTCAACGACTAGAACTACAGAGAAAATACAACCTACTTGACCCCCCGACAACAGACAAGCGACATCGATGACATTCATGCTGCGAAAGAACCGCGGTTCTCCGATCCGAGATTCTCAACACTACTGCAGGTCAGAACTCGAAGCTGTTTGTTCATCCTTCACGCTGACCTACGACAATATGCTGACCTGTTCTTGGTAAACCACTTGGAAGGTGAACGGGTTCCAATCAGTCCGAAGCCTTGAAACCTCAACACTCTAAAGATCTGCAGCTCTACAACTACGATCACAAACCGTACTGACAATACCACGCACGGAAGTAGCAGTAGTCGCAAGAATCATACAAAGCACACTCCAGGAGTTGTAGTAAGAACGACAGGGATGATCAGACCTGTGAGAACAGTAAGAAGTCTCATAAGCGGGAGAAGACTGGCAAAAAAAGACGAAGCCCTCCGCTGCCCGGCTCGCCGGCCTCGTCCTGCTCGTGGACCCTCCGAAAAAAAGCCTGGTTTGGGGTTTAGGGTTTAGGGTTTTAGGGTTTAGGGACTTAGGGCTACTCCGAACCAGACAGCACAGTAGATTGCGGCAGCATCTTCTTGGTTTGGAACCTGTCGTCCTACTTTCGCTTCACCCTGCAATTTCGCTGTCGTTGACCATGCCTTGTGACCCTTGTTCACTCCTATTCTGACGACTGTTGCACTGTTGTTGACATATGTGACATGGCTATGACGGCACTGGTTGATTTACCACCATGTATACTGCTGGTGAAGCCTGGTATGGTTGGGAGGAAGATGCTCTCAATCCAACTACAAGCATGGTCATCAGCACTGCAAGATCATTGTTATCTTTCGTACTACGAGTACCCGCTTGAAATCGCCATGAAGATAGAGCTGAGTAGGTGCCGCTACAATCGCAGTGCTAGTGTCTCTTGCGGGCGGGCTCACTGCATAGAACTGCGAGTCCGATTCCCTGTATGGCTCTACTACTGCTACGAATCATATCATTCAATAACTTTTCTCATCACTTCTTACTCCATCTTACTCCTGCTCTTCGCCACCCCACCACCACTGCCAAGCCGAGACAGCTGCTGATGATGCTGTGTGTAGCTGCCTCAACTTCGTCGTCCCAATACTGCTCTATCTCTACTTCTACTGCTATGACTTGCACAGCTTCTGCTGCTGCCACGGCTACAACGACGACTACTGCTGTCACTTCAAAATGGTAGCTGCCCGTCTCTTCTGAGGCAGGCACTACGATTGACTAGTGTTTGTTGCTGCTCTTTCTCGGCTACGATGTTCACTGCTTTGGTTTTGCTACTGCTGCCACCGCTGTTATTCTTGTGACGATGCACGATGCCAGTACTACTTTCGATGTTGCTATCATTGGCTGCCGGAAGGCCTTCGCTGATCACTGCCTCCTCTTCCGCCGCACCTCGCAGATTGGGCTTCGGAGGTTGTGGATTGGGGCTAGGGGCTCAGGATTAAGGGTTCAGTGATCCCTCTTGCGGCTTAAGGGCCCGGAGCTTGTTCACTTGGGGGCCGAGAGTCTTGGCTTTCGCTTCATACGAGTGGTGTGAGTACGTAGCCTAGGTGATGCTACCCGAACAAGGCAGGACTGAGAAGGACGAAGAAAAGAAGTCACAAAAGATCATTCATTTGTTTGTCCATTTACTTATTTACACTTGCGTGCGCACAGACATATGCATGTAGCCCTTACAGAACCCTTCTAGCAATCCTTTTAATAAGTGAGTTGCCACTCCCTTTGGCCTGATCTCCGCTTCGACTTTGGCGGAGCTCGCAGGACTGCACAGGGGCAGACAGGAGAGCGCTAAAGTAAAGTTACTATAACTGGTACTATAACCGCTGCTATAAGTGTTGCTAGACGGGCTCATATAATTGTTAGTTCTTCTAGTACCATAACTGCTATTATTACAGGGCTTCTATACCTCTTACTCTAACTACTGATACAAATGCTACTATAAGCATTTCTATAAGGGTGTCAGAACACCGCCGCAAGAGCCCAATTAAGAAGCCGTGTGGGTAGCACCATACGGCATGGCGTCTTGGTGACACCGCACGGCTCATTTAAGGAGCCGTCCGGGCAACACTGTGGTCGCAAGGAGCGGCACCAAATAGCCGAAGGAAAGCTCGGTTAATTGATGCCTCCGGGCAGACGCGCGCAGGCGTGTAGGCCTTCCGGTGCGGACGCATGCGCGTAAGCAGGCCTTCCGGGGCGGACATGCGCGCATCAGTTCCTTCCGGGGCGGATGCACACACGGATCATTACTTGGAGCCTATTTGGGGTTTTAGGGGCTCATCTTTGAAGTCGGTCATTCTGATAGGCACGTGAGTAGAGATCACGTGATCTATCCTCACACCGTTTTCCCACCGTATTTCTCGGTTAGTGCCCCGGTTCCACAGCCAGGGGCAAGCGGCTGTTTCAAGTGTTTCTCGAGCTTTGACGCGGCGCCACGACCTTTTTTGCCTTTGCCTTTTCGCTCGCCTGTTCCGGCACTGATGGCTAGCGAAGTTGAGCAAGTGCTAGAAAGACCCTCGAAGACCTGGGTTCCACAGTTTCGAAGACTGAAGTGCGAAGTGGGCAGTGAGGTGTACGTCGTGCTTTTCCTGTCGTTCATGCATCGTTTCCAGTTGAGGACTGCATTGGTCTAGCTTCTGCTCTGCTTTCTAAGGCTAAGCTAGCCACCTGACATACTCGACATGCTGCTGTCTCTGTGCCGGCATGATGCTCCTGTCCTTGCTACAGCAGATGAAGACTGGCAGTCCCAGACTTCCGATTCAGAATCTCGCGGCATTGATTCTGCATGCTGTGGCCTTCGTTGTGGGCACTGTTGCAGGGGCACATGGGGAGACTACTATAGGATGAGAGCCACCACACTTAAATTCCCCTACACTCTAAACCCCTCAACCCTAAACTCTAAACCCTCAACCCTAAAACCCTCAGCCCTAAAACCCTAAATCCCTGAACCCTCAACCCTCAACCCTCCGCCCTAAATCCCTAAACTTCTTAACCCCAGGTCCCGACACGTCGCTGCCTTCTGCCGGCGGTGGCTTCCAAATGCTTCCGGGGTCATCCTTGCGCAGCTGCTCGAGGGTTTAGGTTTTAGGGTTTGAGTTGAGGGTTTAGGAAGTTTAGGGTTTAGGGTTTCGGGTTTAGGGTAGTTGAGGGTTGAGGGTTTAGGGGAAGTTTTGGCAATCCCCAAGTCAATTTACTCCTTCCGCAGCTGCTCGATGAAGGCCTGGGCTCAGGCGATAGGCTACATAGGCTGAAGAAGGGGCCTTCATAAATAGAATAGGGTTTGGGTGCAAATTACGGTAGAACTCTATAAAGGAATCCAAACAAGTTATATATGTGGATACTTCTCCTACTGATAAGGATTCGTCCATGGGCGGACTAAGGTTACCGCTAAGAAACCCGCCCTTCGAGGAAGTCTCTCGAAGCTGGTGTCGTTCGAAGTGTCGCATCCTTTTAGGGTTCAGGGTTTAGGGTTTAGGTTTAGGGTTGAGGTTAAGGGTTTAAGCCAAGAAGCTCTTCATGACCTGAAGTTTGCAGGATGCAGCAGCCATCTCGGCGGATAGGTGTCGATTTACCCACTCACAAAATGCCCCCTTCAACAAAACTTGCAAAACGAACACTTCGTATCAGGGTGCATCCCAACCAACCCTTATAAAAACCTCATAGTAACCCTTATAGCAAACCTTGTACTAACTCTCACAGTTTATTTCGAGTTAGGACCCTGCTAGTAAGTATAGGAACCCTTATACCAGCCCTTACAGTATTTCTCAGCCTGACCCTTCCAGAAGCTCTAACGCCTTCGTGGAGCGCGTCGGCTCCAAGAATCCCCAGCGAGGCTCGAGCTGCATCAACTTCTTCCTCTACCTGCGGTTCAGGTTTGGGCATGTCAATATTGGGGACATTAATGAGTAGAATACGTTCTGGGCATGTGATAGTCAATCGAAATGTAAAGATAAGGAGTATAAATCCGGAGTGTCTCCCGACGATGTAAGGAGAGTTTTAGGTCTAACTTTGAGGGTGTCGTCATTTGAAGCTCAGGGTAAAGAGAGTTCTGGCTACGGGGTCCAAGGTTTTAAACCTTAGAGTCTACGGTTCTCCTGTAGGGCTTATCGGGTTTAGGTTTAGGGGTCTCCTACCTAATCTCAGCAGTGTCCCCTTGCGGGCGATTGCCCGGCGTCTCTCAAAACCCGGCACTGCCAAGAAACCTCTTGAAGCAAAAGCAAACGGACAGCGCCGCCTCGTAACTGAATGGAACGTTGACCATTCTGTCTTGCAGTGCCTTGGAAGACAGCCCCTACGGCACGGGATTGGAATGGAAAGGCGTCTGATTGAGGTTCTGACCGAGACGGCTTCTCTGACACGCGAGGCTGCAAACATGGACTCGGGCGGCGGTACCTCTTTCAGGCATACATACATGGATTGAGAGTCGTAGCCTAGGGTGCAGGTTCAGAGGTTTAGGCCTGTGGGCTCTTTGGCAGGGCTTCACAGCGTTCGACGGTTGAAAAAAAAAATCCTTGCCAGGGGCACTCCACGGAATCTGCGCTTGGTGATGAGATGTGTAGGAGGTGTCAAACCACACCTGAGAGCCAAGGGCACAGACCATACAAAGGCCTCAGGGAGATCCTATTAGAAGCTCCAAAGCCATGGGCACAATTTCTGGAAGGGTTTCTGGTTCAGGGCGTCGGAGATTCAGTCTTGGGGTCTGGAAGCTTCGAATGCAGAGGCTGCGGCTTCCACACGTAGCTGGTTGTGTCCAGATACCTGGCACAAGCAGAGATTCAGCAGCAAGCCCATGCAATGCGGCTTAACGCATGATGTTCTGCTAACCAGTTCAATGGTCCCAGCATTTACATCTTGAAGCCAACCATGCCCCCCCGAAGCCATCAAACAAAACTTCAAAACTGAACAACACGGAAGCCCCTCCAGCTGAAAGCTCGAGTCCTGCCCGAAACCTCCAGGCCCCAGCATTCCTGGACTCAGAAGCAAGCAGACGCAATGATGCCGAAACATTCGAAGCAGGGATCTGTCGTCGTCGTCGTCGTCGTCGTCGTCGTCGTCGTGTGGTACGCGGTATTGCAACAATGGCAGTTGGCGGCGCGGGGGTGGGCAGCTTCAAAGCCTGCTTAAAGAGCAGAATAAACAGCGAAAATACCGTGATGTACACCAGCCTGAGAAGGTTTAATATTTGCAGCAACCACTCCAACAACTACCACAACCAGAAGGCCTTTGCACAACGGAAGTGCAAGTGTCTCAATAACGACAGTCAGCAAGCCCAAGGCAGGTACTGCTTGTTAGGCAGCTCATCCTCGCGATGGACGATGAGCATCTGGGTGATGTCTGCTGATTTGTATAGCACCTGCTGGCTAGGAGCTCGCTGCAGCTTTTGGCTCTTTAAATGGGGGGTAAGGCTTCAAGGTGTGGGGCTTAAGACTGGGATTATTATTTCAGTGCATGGTGTTCCTGAAATACGGGGTTGTCGGATCCTGCGATTCCACTCATCTTCTCACATCAAGGAGCTGGCCCATAAACTTCGCTTGCTGTGTAGTTAAAAAGGTTCACTGCCATCAAACATAGGTAGGTAAGTAGGTAGGTAGGTAGGTAGGTAGGTAGGTCGGTCGGTAGGTGGGTAGGTAGGTCGGTAGGCAGGCAGGCAGGCAGGCAGGCAGGCAGGCAGGCAGGCAGGCAGGCAGGTAGGTAGGTAGGTAGGTAGGTAGGTAGGTAGGAGGTCGGTGGGTCGGTCGGTAGGTAGGTAGGTAGGTAGGTAGGTAGGTAGGTAGGTAGGTAGGTAGGTAGGTAAGCAGGTAGGGAGGGAGGTAGGTAGGTAGGTAGGTAGGTAGGTAGGTAGGTAGGTAGGTCG